GTTCCCGAAAAGTTGAGATGCTAATAATGCGACGTTGACTGTACGAATGAATTTTGGGGGGGTCCCAAGGTGGTTGCTGACCCTCGGGTCACCGATCCGATGAACCCCGGAAGTGTCCGAAATTGGTCGATTGATTGTCGTTGAGTTGGGGGGCGTATTTTCATGTCTACTTTAAACATCCCGCCCGCATTCATCACTCGTGATGAATCCTCGTTGAATTATCCACTCTAGTTGTCCTCTGGTTGGTCTTCGTTGATGTCTTCTTGTTGATTTTCTGGTGGTGGATCCGTTGGTAGCAAGCAGAGTTTTGCTATTGGTCTGGTGAAGGTGAGACGTTGCACTCGAGCATTTTGTGGCTCTGGCTCTCCGTCACGATTCGTTGGGATTTCTGCTCTTGCTGTGATTAATTCAGCCACTCTTACGAGTCCATCAGCCCCTGGCCTTACAGCAGTAACTCTCGCCAGAGGCCAATGTGCTGGAGGTTGATCATCGTCGATCATCAGGACCATGTCTCCTTCGTTGATGTTCCGTTGACGTTGATTCCATTTATACGTTGAGTGGTAACGTTGAAGACATTCTCTGGACCATCTGGACCAGAATTGTTGAGTTTTTTGCGTCACCAGATTCCATCTGGTAATTTTCGTTGTGTTGGCTTCGAGTTGAGATGGCTCCGGGATGAGTTGGAGAGGCTCTCCAATGAGGAAGTGTCCTGGTGTTAATACCTGCAGGTCATCAGGGTCATCCGTCATCGGGACAATCGGCCTCGAGTTGAGACAGGCCTCGATCTGCACCAGGACCGTATTTAACTCTTCATAAGTTAATGTTGTGGTTCCCAGCACTCGTCGTAGGTGATACTTCGTTGATTTCACCGCAGCTTCCCACTTACCTCCGAAGTGAGGGGCTTTTGGTGGGATGAATTTCCACTGCGTTCCGTTGTGTGCCAATGCTGCTCTGATTTGTTGATTCTCGGGAGACTGTTGATTGTACAGTCTGTTGAGCTCGTTGGCTGCTCCCTCGAACGTTGTGGCGTTGTCACTGTACATCACAGCTGGAATGCCTCGCCTTCCAGTGAATCGTTTGTAGGCAGCAATGAACGCGTCCGTTGTTTGTCTGTTGACCAGCTCGAGATGAACGGCTGAAGTGCTAAAACAAACAAAAACAGCAATATGGACCGTTGATGGTTGAGCGTTCGTTGGTCTCCACTTGAGAATTGGAAGAGGTCCTGCATAATCAATTCCAGTATGCAGGAATGGTCTTGAAGGTGTTGCTCTCGGCGTTGGGAGCTGACCCATCAGCTGTTGTGCTCGTGTTGCCCTGAATCTGGTGCAGACAGCGCAGCGTAGAATAAACGCCTGGACTGATTTTCTGCCTCCAACGATCCAGTATCGTTGCCTGATGTAGGCCATGGTGAGTTGCGCTCCTCCATGTAGTGTTTTCTGATGAGCTTCGTTGATGATCAGCGTTGTTAACCGAGACTTCCTTGGCAATATAACTGGGTGAATTTCGTCTGGGTCGAGCAATGAGTTTTTCAGTCGTCCACCCAGCCGTAGAATTCCTTGGTCGTCTATTCTCGGCGTCAGCTTGGCCAGTGGATGTTGGCGAGGAAGTTGAGTGTTCTCGTTGAGGTTCTGAAACACAGATTCAAAATATTGTTTTTGGGTTACCTTTACCCAGAAAATCCTCGCTTCGTTGAGTTCTCTCGTTGTTAGCACTGGCGTTTCTGGCGTTGGTTGTCGTCGAAGTCGTTGTATTGCTCTGTTAATCGTTGCTGTCACTTGTAGGACCTTGGATAGTGTTGAGTATCTGTTGAGAAACTCGTTGAGCGGGTGTTGTCTGCCGTTCACCATGACTGGATGGGCTGACGCTGGTCTCTCTTCCAGTGACACCTCCGTTGGTATGCTAGTTGATGTTTGTGGCCAGGCTGATGGCGGTCTTGCCAGCCATTCAGGCCCGTTCCACCAGAGGTGATGTTCGTTGAGTTCGTTCGTTGATATGCCTCGTGAAGCACAGTCCGCGGGGTTGTAAATCCCACTCACATGTCTCCAAGTTGCCGTTGGTAATTCTTCCTGGATTTTCGTCACTCTGTTGTGAACGAACTCCTTCCATCTTGATGGATGGCTGTTGATCCATGCCAAGGCGACCGATGAATCAGACCACAGGTATGTGTCTACGTTGAGTTCCAATGTTTGTTGAGCCCAGCTGACAATTCTTGTCAGCAGGAGGGCTGCGGTGAGCTCTAGGCGTGGAATAGTCATTCTTTTCAGTGGTGCAACTCGTGTCTTTGCACACACCAGGTTGATTGTTGGTTTTTCATTTTCTTGTTGAACTCGTAGATAAACTACTGCCCCCATGGCAGCTGTTGATGCGTCTGCAAATCCATGGATTTGTACGTTGGTGTTCGTTGTTGTTAGACTCAGCCATCTAGGTATGGTGAGTTTGTTGAGTTGCGTGAGTTCTTCCCTGAACTCTTTCCACCGTCGTACGTAGTCAGATGGCAGTTGGTCGTCCCAATTCAATTTAAGCAACCAGAGTTCTTGGATTAAGATTTTTCCTCGAATGGTGACTGGTGCGATGAATCCAAGAGGGTCGAAAATCTGAGCTATTTCCGACAGCAGTATCCTCTTGGTGAATGTCGTTGAGTTGAAGACCTTTGACTTGTAGTTGAACGAGTCTGTTGATGGATGCCAGCACAATCCAAGCGTTTTTACTATTGCTTCTTCGAATTGCACTGACCCTGCCTGTTCCGTTGATAAGTTGAGTTGCTCAAGTATCTCTGGTTGGTTGCTGGTCCACTTCTGAAGTGGAAATCCGCCCGCATGGCAGATTCGTTGAAGTTGGTTGATGATCTCTTTGACTTCTTCCTCTGAGTCAGCTCCACCATAAATGTCGTCGACGTAGCGCCCTTTAGTTAGTGGTGAAACTGCTGCTGGGAATCGTTGACCTTCATCGTTGACTAATTGTTGAAGGACTCTCAGAGAGAGCCATGGGGAACATGTCTGCCCGTATGTTACTGTGGTGAGTTGAAAGGTCAGCAATTGTTGATTGTCATCCATCCACAGAATACGTTGCAGATCCCAGTCATTTTTGTGTACGTTGATTTGCCTAAACATCTTCACGATGTCAGTGCCAAATACGATTCGATGTCTTCTCAACCAGGTGAGAACATCCATTGCATCCACCTGGAGCTTGCCGCCCGCGTGGAGGATGTCGTTGAGTGAGATACCTGAAGTTGTCTTGTTGGAGCCGTTGAAAACCACTCGAAGTTTCGTGGTTATTGCATCTTCTCTCAGAACCCCGTGATGTGGCAGGTAATATGTCGTTGATGGTTCTGAAGTGTTGTCTGTACGTCGCATGTGATCAAGTGCTTCGTACTCGTTGATGAAATCGTTGTACAGCTTGCTGTATTCAGGATTGGCATTCAATCTTCGTCTTATTGAATGGAGTTGACGAAGCGCCGTGCTCCTTGATTCTCCGAGCGCTGCTGTTGATGTGCGAAGTGGTAAACGCACAATATAGCGCCCAGTTGAGTCTCGTTGATGTGTTCGTTGAAAGTGTTCTTCACACTCTCGTTCCTCTGGTGTGAGCTCGTTGATTGCATTTGTTGGTGTTGGTGGTTCCTCCTGGACCCAGAATTTTTGTAGAAGCTCCGTTAATTGTTCGTTGGATGATCCCCTTGCCGCGGATAAGGAAACCTTCCTTGAACACTCGTTGTTGCATAATGGACCGGATATGATCCATCCGAATGTTGTTAGTTGGCCAACTAATTGTTCGTCGTTGGATTTCTTGACTTCATAACCGATGATTTTCGCATAGTTGTCAGCTCCGATGATGATGTTGATTGGTCCAGGTGTTGAATAACTCTCATCTGCGAGTTGAAGCTGCTGCAGTGATCCGATGGATGCAGATGAGCATGAAAACGTTGGCAATCGTGTTGTTAATTTTTGCAGCACGTGGGCGTTGATCTCAACATGTTGATATGGCGATTTCGTTGATTGGAGAGTGATGGTTACAATCCCTCTCGTTTTGCATGCGTGCTGTCCACCAATACCGATGAGTTCAATCGTTGAGTGTCGTCGTTGAACATGTAGTTGACGGACCAGGCTTTCCGAAATGAATGAAAGCTCTGAGCCTTGATCGATGAGGATTCTTGCGATGGTGTAGAATCCGCCGTTGGAGTATGCCCTGGCTTTTGCAGTAGCCAAGAGCACTAGTCGATGATCCGTTGATTGGTGGGACTGATCATTGTCCCTGACGTTGATTGGCGTTGACGATTCTTTATTCGTTGACTTGTGGGACAGCTTGGTGTCCTCTGAGTTGATTGTCGTTGATGCTTCTTTAACCGTTGAGTTTTCGTTGGCGTTGAGTGTTGATGTACTGTTGGGTGTGCCTGTTGAATGTACAAGGGGAATCAATGTTCTGAGCGATGTATGAGAATATAATAAATCAAACACTCAGACCTGATTCCTCCCTTGTTGTTGGTGCCTCTGGAGCGTTGTTGGACGAGGTGCTGGCTTCACTCCTCTCCTGGTCCAGATGCAGCATCGTGTGATGGCGTTGGTGGCATTTAAGGCAAGCCTTGCTGCACTTGCATTTTGCCACCGTGTGAGTGCCGAAGCAGTTGAAACACAAGCGCATGCCTGTGATGTAGTCCAGCCTTTTCCATGCAGGCAGGTTTTGGAATCCTGGGCACTTCCCTATGAAGTGTCTCTCCCTGCAATAGGCACAGCAATCAGCAGGTCTGGATTGTTGACTTTCTGTGCGTTGAGGTGCTGGTGACTCAGCCACATGATACACACGTGCCCGTGGCGTTGATTTCCCTTGTGGCGTTGGCTTCGCTTTTCTTTTGGGTGACTCCTGGTGATCGTCTGGAGTCATGCCTCTGGCCGTTGACTCCAGGAAGTTGACTAGCTCCTGTAAGGGCACGAAGTTCGTTGAAGCACCCAATTTCTGCTCCCATGTGGTGCGTGTATCCGCCTCCATGGAGCGTTTGAGCAGGTGGAAGACAAACTGCTCTCCCAAATCTTCCTTTGGTATCCCAGCTGTGCTGATCAGCTGATCTACCGTCTCTCTGGCGATGTGCGCGTTGTTGATCATGGCCTTGGCATCTCCCTTGGCCATCGTTGGCAGGTTGAGCACCCTGTTAAAGAGATGCCCTGCAATCAGTCGTGGATTTTCATAGTGTCTTTGCAGCTTCTCCCACGCCTTCTCATAATTGGCGTCGGTAGCTGTGAAAGACGAGATGTGTTCCGCTGGTGGTCCCTGGAGGGCTTCCTTCAGCCTCACCAGTTTCTCAGCTGGCGACATGTCCAGTCGCCTCCCCACCAGGTTCTGGAAGAGGTCGGAAAATTCCTTCCACTGTGAGAATTTTCCTCGAAACGTTGGCAAGTCGATACGTTTCAGTTGAGTTGTCGTTGGGCGGTCCGTTGATTTCCTCTCGTGGGTTGCGAGTTGCCCCTTGAGCTTCCAAATTAGCTTCAAGGTCTCGCGTTTAATTTCCCCAGTCTTGAGGAATACCTTGCCCTTCATATAGATGTGTTCTGAGGGCAGGTTGCCGATGATTGCCTGGGATCGATCGGCAAAATCGACCCATGCCTCTTTCAGGTAGGTCTCCTGACCGTTGAGCTCCTCCATGCTGGTGTTGATGGCCTGCATATGCCTCATTTCGTCATAAATGCAGTGGAATTCCATGACCTTGTCTTCCAAGAATTCCAGCTGGTTGAGAATTCCTGGTGATAAGGCTGTTGATTTGCTCGTTGTGGGTTGAGGGTCTGGCATCTCAGACTCTCTCCTCTTTATCTCGTCCAGGTTTGGACGTGGCGGATCCTCCACGGCATTTGCCCAATCTTCCCTTTCAATTGGGGCTGGTTGATTATCTGGAGAGTGCACGATGATGGGAGGTAAATCATTGACCTCGACGTTGGGCTCGTTGATCTGCGCTTCTATCTCATCTCCATGTTCTGCCATGATGGTAAACGGAGTTTCGGTGTGTTACCGACCGTTGGATTACCGACCGTTGAGTTGGCGTTGAGTGAGCTGCTGCCCCACTTGTTGAGCTCAGTCCCGAAGAGTGGGGGACTGCTGTGACGTCGTTGCGAAGATAGTCGAGCACTCCCGAACTTTCGCACGCGCGGTCAAGGAATTTTAGGCACTCGAAAATGTAAACAACCGAATACAAAGGCGCGAGGTCAATAAATGTCTATTGTTCTCGCGTTGGGTGTCCGTTGGGATTATCGATTTTTCGAGAAGGTCGTTGATTTTCGGAAAATGGCTTGGCGTCCCTTTGCTGACGCCGTTGAAAATTCGCGACACTTTCACAATTTTCACTATTTTTTCCGCACCGATCCGGCTCGAAGGACCAATGTTTAGTTGAGGACGTTG